CACTTACAACGCCTCTGGACGCCTCTGGTGTTCCAGGTGTCCATGGGCGACGCCGATTGCTTACCAGGTTATCAGGTGATCCGGCTAATACCAAAAAAATATTGTGTTGTATCTAAGTAATTTGTTTGATCTATTTCAAACATGGTCGAGTAAATAACACTACACAATTCCAATTCAATTTCTCTCATCAAATTCGGGACCTCTTCAGAAATTATATTTAAGCTCATCCTATCTCTACCTACGTGTGTTCTGTCCCTTATGGTGAGCATCACAACCTATGATCATATATATCTGAATATATTATTATTTACCTTGGTCTAAGGTTACGCATTGCCATTCAACGTGGCAATACTGCCAGTCTTTTGAGCACTGTAGGTACCTCACGACAGCGATGATTATAATTTTTCGGGGCCTTAAAATCTATTTTTATGGTAATTTTTAGGTTAATATATTTTTAGTTTTTAGTTGCATTTTTATTTCGTTTGTATGTAAAATGTATATGTATTTGTAGGCATATATTTTTTAAAGTAGAATTTCATATAGGTAATTTCAATTTAGGCAATGAAGGAAAGTTTTTTCTATGCCACTTGAGTTTCAAAAACCTTTGGTTCAACCGTGACGTGCAGCCATTGTTGTGGCTAACAGCTACTTCTAACCATCAGTTAGCGGTATACTCCTGCAGTCATCAATCCGGTACTCTTTTGTAAGAACATTCTATAGCCAGATATTTTGATAAAAAACCGCTTTTCTATAATACTTCTTTAATAGCGAAGAAATTAAATTTAGTATCTGTACACGGAATCAATATTATTAAGTTAGAATCAAATTTTTTGTCAATTTTCTTTTGTATCTGCGACTTATAAAACGACTAGCTGTTCCCCACGACTTCGTCCGCGTAGTTCATGATTCTTGTTTTATCCCATGGGAGTATTTAATTGGGATAAGAACTATCCTATCACCTATGTAAGCACATACTCTGCCTGTATACAAGGTTTCATTAAAATCCGTGCAGTAGTTTCAGCATGATCGAAGGACAGACATCCAAACACAGACTCTTTCACATTTTTATAATATTATCGTGATTTAACTTTTAGTGTTTTTTTTAAGTTATTAACAATATCTTCAGGTTTCAGTAAAATGCCTCTTCGTAACCCATTCAACTTCGCTTTTTCCTTAAATTTTAACAGTTAGAACGAGTGGGACACGTTATTGCACGATGCGTCGGAAAATTGAATTTAGAAATTAACAGATCGTAGTTTTTCTTTACGTTTTTCTATTGGATCTCGCTTTTTTGGTGCTAATAATGTAAAAATAAAAATTAAATATCGTTGGCTGAAACTCATCTACCTACTTATTCATATAAATGTCAGCTCAGTCAATGTACCTATCAGGTATAGATTTCTTATTTACAAATCAACATGAACAGAACAGAACTTATCTCCCAAGCTGGTTATGATTTTCGTTCACATTTCAAATTCACAATAATAACATTCGTTGATGATTCTTAATTAATATTAAAATAGGTACGTACGTAAATAGGTAACATCTAACTAGGTCTTTAACTCCCCAATTCTCCCAAAGGAATAGTACAATGAGCAAAATACCTGGAATAAAAACCTAATCTGCTTCGTTGGCCGAGTGGTCACAAGTGCGACTGGCCGGGCAAGAGGTTAGATTGAAGCCGGCCAATCAAATCACCGTACGCGGTCTAGTTTTACTTTAAACACTAAATAAACTCATACTCAGGCCTTAGATATCTGCTAACTAACAGACATGGTTAATCTACAATTTATTAACAAAGATCGCAGCATCTTTATGTTATCTGAAGGCGTTAACTACACACCTCGGATGTGAGTACCGTATGGAATGGAATGTCTATAGAGTAATATAGAAATAGTCAGTCGACGCTTGTATATATATCGATAAAGATGTTCCATCATCAATTTCCTTATCAACAGCTGCCTATAAGTTTTTTTCTTCTCCTCTTAATCTTTAATATCTTCTGATTCACTTCGTTGCGGGAACCGAGACATTCTTGTTCGTGAGACGCGCTGGACTTCAGTGTTCCGGTGTTTTCATGATTGTAGATCCTGGCTTATAGGAGTTGTCCCACCAAAATACCTATAAGTCACAGCTGAGCAAAGCCTCTTCTCACACTATTGGTGATTTCAAACTTATAATTAGAATTATAAGGCCAGGTTTCCTCACGATGTTTGCCTTCACCGTTTGTCAGTGGTGCCTAGATAATCTAAATATTCATATTGGTTTTATTTATTTTCTTTAGTTTAAATTTTCGTTTTTTATTTATTATATTTTTTTTATAAAATAATTGTTTATTTTCAACTTAATTTACTCAACTTTTTCATTTTTTGATGCTTGGCTACCTATAATTGTGAATACAGATAGTCTTAAGGTCTTTTTTTTAAGTCAAAATTATTTTCATTGTGCAATATTGCTGTATTTATGTTGGTGACCCTCAAAATAAATAAATCATCTTAGAAAATAATTATAACTCGTAAGATTTTCTATGTAAACCTACAATATGTGCGATGAATATTATCTACTGAAGTTTCAATTGTGTTAAGGTACATATTTCTAATAAGATTTAATTATTTTGGTACTAGGTTTTTTTCAGCAATTGTTCCAGAGTGCTCCTTACTTGAAAAATTTTTAAACTTTGATTCGCTTACCTTTATGTACCTATACATATATATAGAATATTTTGAGTACTATCTACGGCGAATAGAGTGAACTACTACCTTTTATTAGGGTAGTAGTTTGGTAGTCTTGTCTCTTTCTACTTATAAATTGTCACCATATCTGGTGATAAGTCGGTGTTGTAAAACCTATGACTTGTGTTGTTATAATTAGGCCTCCATCTAAGAAGTACTTGCTATGGTCCCCACGGTTGAGGATAACGCTTAGTCTCCTGTAAATGATACTTCGCTCCCCCTCTTGATTGCCGATTGTAGAATATACCTACTACCTAAGCAGTAGTTATGTCGCAGAGAACCTAACGGGTTACCGGGGCTCCGGCTCAAAGCGCAAGAGAAGGAACGGGGTGGTTTTTAGTCAGTAAGAGTCTGACACTCCCTCCCGCTTCACCCAGGCGGGGGCAGTTATTCGATTATTTTCCACCCTTAAAAAAACCTATATATCCAGTTTATAATTTAACCTCTAGTATATCGGAGCACACTTCTACTCGAGACGTTGCGATGCGTTTTCTATTGTGTCTTAAATACCGACATACAAATCATACAATAGGTTAATGCACCAATGTCTGTAAGTTAAGCTTGAAGAGAGAACATACTTAAACTAAAATTAACGAGTTACTCACGTAAATATACTGAGAAATGCTCTATTAGATTCATATATTTTTTTCATTAAGTTTGATAGTATCAGAAATTAGCTAGCTAGCTTTACTAAGTAGATATAAGCAGGTACTTCATTAATCATCAGCAGCCTGTTTTCATCCACTGCTGGATGTAAGCCTCTCCAATTGCACGCCACTGAGCTCAGTCTTCAGCTCTACGCATCCAACCACAATCAGCCACTTTGCGGATATCCCCCACCTAAAGAGCGCCCTACACTACGTTTGCCTAGACGCGGTCTCTACTCCAGAACACTTCTAATTAAAGACAATGATACTTTTTATTTGTGTTCCCATGAGAAATATTACAAGGGTACCTACATGTAATGGTGTTAAGATACCTAGATGAGCTATATTAATATTTATTTATATGAAGATTTATCAATAAAATACTAACACAGCTCAAAAGGATCGATAGAAAATATGATTCCAATTGTAATACCTACAATGTGTAGAAAAAATTGCAGAAATAGATTCCAACTGTGATATTAATATAATTTTACCATTATATTAGGTACTATGTAGGTATACCTACTCACTCACCCATCTTATGCTTAAGGTAAATGTCTAATTTATAACTGTTTGAGTTTAAATTAAAAGGTATATCATCTACTACTAATTTGTCAAAGTAAGAATTAAAATCCACAATGAAACCACAGGAAAATTTGTAATTAATTACAGAATTTTAATAAATCTACCTACCAAAGTTTGAAGATTAATTTGTGATCATGTATTTTAACAGTTGCTGCCTTTCTAATAAACAGTAAGGAGTATCTTACAACAATTTACCTACGTGTCGTGTTTGACTCTACCCGTCGTACTCAATAGTGTGCGTCATGCCACTTGGACCCCTTGTGTATTTTGTTACGGTTTTCTTGTAAATTATTGTAAAGTTTTGTTTTGATTTACTATCTGCTTGGTTTATAATTAGTATACCTAACTGTTAAGTAGTCATGAATAAGTTACTATCCGTGTCTATCGTTTGCAAAAAGATTGTAACCATTGCATGTTATACAGTATCGTTTGAAGTTTCCGTATACAGAGATTGAATGCAAACGATGAATGGTCGCGGGTGACGGGGTGAGTGTCGCCATCACAAAGTTTTCACATTAAACACTTTTACCTACTACGTCCTAAGTCGGAGGTGACGACGCATGCGCCAAACCGACCAACGACACACTTTGTTATTATTAGAAGGAAAAGGATTCTGTTAAGTATTCAGCTGGCTGCAGAGGAAAATCTTGAATAAAATTCAACATCCTTAAGATGTTTAAAATAAATAAAGATCCAAAGTCATCCCATTGGCGCGCTCCAAACATACACAAGCGAGCATAAACCGTCGAACGCCGATACCTAACTCACAACGCGTTCCGTGCGAGAGGAACTCAGCAATTTTGATTAGGTACAGAACAGAAAATCCGAACAGAGGAAAACTCTCATGTAATTGCCGCAAAAACCGTTGAAAAAACGCGCACGACCGTCTGTGTCGACGCGCGCGCGCGGTGTGGCGGGCGGGAGAGCGGCACACACGCGCAGCGCGGCGGCCCGCGCCCGGCGCGCCCGGCGCCGCCGCCCATTGGCGCGCCGCGAAGTGGGCAGTACGCCACGCCCCGGCGTCGGCCCTGCTCGCTCGTCCCGCGGCAGTGTCCGCCAGACTGCCGAGCGCGCCGGGCCTCCCGCTTCCCCGCGCCTCGCTCGGCCACGCCGCGTCCCGTGATCGAACCATACAAAACCTCTAGTTAACATCCGTCGCGAGTGCATTATGACACTAGTGAGCTAGCGGGCCGCTGTGACGGTGTCAAATAATTGATGTGTATGTGTTCACGTGCTAGTGTGTTGTGTTAGGTTGGGCCCGTGACGAAAAACGTTCGTGGTGGCCAGCGGAGCCTTGCACCCGGGCTCGGGCCGAGCTTTCATGGCTCAGCCTAGGGTACGTACACTGATGACAAGTATACAAACAACACAACACACCCACACCGCAAGTGTAACAGCCACGGTAGATGTACAGCCGATAGCCTAAGACGATAAATACAAAATATGTAGATAATAACATAATGATATTTGATAATGATAGCAATAACAGTGACAAGTGCTCAAAACAAAATAAACTCAGATAATCACTTGTTGGTCGCGTACTAAGCGCACACGACGCTAATGAAGATAGAGAAATAAAGTAAATCAGAATAGAGACATGTGTCACGGGAGGTGAGACGTTCGTAACGACACATTAGGCCTGTTCCAACAGCAGGGAAGTTGTTATAACAAGTAACGCGGTCGGAATACATAATGCCAGTTCACAGCGCGCTCCAACTCCACCGACGCATTACCGGTGATAATGAAAACGAAATGAATGCATTATGAACGTAAAACACTTTGTGATAATGTAATCACGACGGTATCTCGCACTCTATAAAAACCTTTAACTGTGATATGAATGAGCGATTCCATTGCGGTTCAATGGGAGCATTAGTGGGCAGTGACGTCTTCGGCAGACGTGGACGCGGTCATGAGAATAAATCGGATTGATGCATAAATGAATAAGTCTCCATATTTTGGACACCTGACGGAATAGCAACGTCGGTTTGTGAATCGGGACAATAAATGGGATGAAAATTAAATGGCGTACAGCGGGGAGTCTATTGTTGAATGCTCTCTTACGGGCTCTGGGGATGGGACACGGTGAAATCTGTCGAGTTACAAGCGGCTTTAAACGCACAGTTTGACACAAAAGAGTATCTCAGAAACCGACAATAAAATTCAATTGACAATGAAAAGAAAAACTTTTTTGGTGCGCGCCACAAAGATGCCCCTAACGGAATTCGTGGGGACAAACTTTCTAAAGATTTAGGGTTGTATTGTTTTTCGTGTAGGAAACGCAAAAGTAATAATCTTCTTTGTTTAGGAATAGGTATTATTATTAAATTGCGATATAAATAACTGGAAACCCATTAAAACGTCAAATAAAAATGTTTTTGTAGATATTGGAGATGTTGCTAACAAAACAGATGGTCATTTAGTATATTCCAATATTATGCATAGATCGGGCAGCGAGCCGAGCTAGGTATGCATTTGAATAAATATTTAAAAAGATCAGTGGAATATATCGAACTCTTAAAAAAGTATTGTATCTAGGTAAATAATAATTCACTGAGCAGATAAATGTTGAAATTACAAATAAATATATGAAACGAATTAAGATTATAGAGAATTGTATTTATTGCAAATTTACTATTAGAAATAGCAATAAATGAACTGATTAAAAATCAAGAGCAATTAATAAAACGTAATTAAATACGATTTCTAGGCCATAAATAATGAGAACATATTAAAAACAAATATAGAGAATTGGTTCCATTGATTCGCCGACGGTCGTAAAACTTTTCTTTGTGCTTCTATAACTTCAAGTTCCTAGTCAAGGTTAGCTTAAAAGATAAAGTAAATTCTAAAAGCGGTCCCGGTGTGTTGACGCACATCATTTTTTACGAAAACACCGAATTAAATATATTTTTGTTAGAAAGTCAATAAACTAAATCTAGTTTGAAATTCATCTTAGTATTGTGAATATTTTTAAAGCTTAGGTATCAAAAAACTACTAAGTTTAATAAACTTCAATAAACATTAGCTTTCACTTAAAACATAGACAAATAATTTCAAAATTAGACTTTCATATCACAACGCCAGTAACCGAAGTCATTTTAATAAAACATAACTAATTTTCATATACGAACATTGCTATGCTACAGCAAATTTAACAAGTTACTAGAAAATGGCCAGTAAAACATTAACTCCTTAGTTATAAATCAAAAACACCGTCTTTACTACCTTTACCTATTTCTACATTCAAGTTAATTGGACATATTTTAAGTGCACTTGACGCCATATTGGTACTCGTATAATTCATATAATAATTATATCATATAATGGCGTAGCGTTTAGCATTAGCCCAGTTTTGATGGTATGCGATCACCATTCGTTTTGAGGCCAAGATACACTATCGGAATCATTTAAATAAATGTTTCATAGAAATATCAAAAATAGATAATGAAAATATGATTTGGTATAGTGTGCGTTGTGTGTATTGTTATGATTGGCGAATAAATTTAGATCAGTGTAACTTACAAGTATATTTATATGAATTTATTGTAGTTACCAAACACAGAAAAACTTTTCTTAATTGTTTGTGTTCAATATTGGGGCGATAATGTGGAATTAGAGAATATAGAACTAGTTATTATAGGAGGATAAAATTATATCTACTTGGAGAAAATACTTATTCGCCAGAGAATTATAAGTAATTCTCTATTTTTGATTTTTTGGCTAGGTACCGTTAAGTCAAAGTGTACTGTGGCTTATTACGATAAAATTGTCATGGATTTTATTAATAAAATTTATAGAAAAAATGTTTAAAAATAAGTTTTAATAATTCATGACCTTATAATATGCATTTTTAATTTACTTATTATTCAAAACACTGAAGAAAAACATATAAAACATTTAATATTATAATATTTAATGTGCATCAAACGTTACTAGCATACCTGTATTATACAGAACTTAAATATTAATTGCATGACCTAGCGATAATTGAAGACGATACATATTTGCATAAATTACAATTTAAATCGCTATAGTAGCAAACGAGATAAAATATTAATAATAAAGGAATAATAATAACGCTTTGTAAACTCTACAATTCCTACAATTCTTGTACTTAGTTAGCTACGGAGAGCTACAAAAAAAACTAAATCGCAAAAAATCCAACATAAACTATGAAACAGTATAATTAACATGTTAGTAAAATACATTATCTAATAATATTGTTGAGTTCAAATTATTTTGTATTTATTTTTAAACGATTCATTTTTCTGGTAGTCTTGTGCTCGTAAAATATAGGCAGCGACGGGAAAGATAAGTGTTCTTCTTAAAAATGTTATAGCAATTATAATTCATTATTTGATATTTTATTACAATTATGACCCGTTCACTGTGTTTAGTAAATCGGCCAGTGACTCCAAGACGTCTACAGAACATTTTTTTTACAAAATGAATTTAAATTTATAAGTGTTAAGATTGTAAATCCGACGGTTGTTGAGCAAAATCTCAGGAATTAAGCTTGAAGATACTGTGTATTATATTATAAGGTAATTTATTTTATCTCAACACAACTCATTTAAAAGTTACGCTTATCTAATTTCTGTTCTGATGAAAATTAGCTGTGATATAATCTAAAGCGAATCTGCAATAAATCTTTAATTTAATATCTGAAAGTAAATACAAAATATAAATCCCACGGCACTGTCATCCGTCGCGTACTATCACAACATTTACAGTCCACACTAAATATTGGTAAACAAAACACGATAAAAAGGCGCCATTCCTTGCAATTATAGATTATTACGCAATAAAGTTAACAAAAATTAATTCACACGTAACTGAACCAAATTATATTTGCACAAGACTTGTCCGTTTATTGTAAACGGTGGTATAATCGTAAATTTTACGATATACCCGATAAGGATATCAATTTGTCTACTAATAGTCCGTCATAATCGGCGATACTGCTGGTTTCGGCGGTGGCCCACTAAATAACTTGATAACATGTGTACTGGATACGGTGTGTTGACTTGTTCCTGTTATAAAAATACGTGTATCTCTGGTATCAGCGTGATACGCTTCAATATTACCCGTAACACTAGTTATTTACAATTTTTACCATTTTCCCGCTATGAATAATAAATACGTACCGGCTCCCGCCGTGATGACGCACACGGTCTAATTTTTTTTACGAAATCCGCAAAAAATGTAGATTGTATTAGTTTTATTAAAATAATTAAGTAGTTTTAATATTGTAGGAGGTGGAATGTAAAGTTTTAAGCTAAAATTGAAACAGCTGATCATTCTACAACCTAGAATTATTATGGTTTAGGTACTAAAATGATGAGTAAACAACATAACTACTATGCAGTTTAGTACTCAAAGTATTAAAAAAGAAGAATATTTCGACGTAAAAATGTTAAAAGACAGAAATATCCAAACGGCCATTTGAAGTGCAATAAAAGTGGTAAAATAAAAAATATTTTATGTTATCTTTTGACCAATCTCACCAACGCATGAGGGAATGTAAAAACAATTTATGAACCATAAAATTTTCGGCAAAATCATTAAACTTTTGCAATTAAACATTTTAAGTTATTTAGATTTCCGATGCATTTAGGAAACAATGTATTAGCTATATTATTGTACACAGATTATATCAAATAATTATGTAAAATGAAAAGAGGAATAACAAAATACTTCTTGTAAAACATTTTCGGAAACTGAAAGCTGATTTTATCAGTTTTCTCAAAATTCAGTAGGATTTTTTGTTTGTTTCGTAAATGATAAATCATTACATAGTATAAAACAAAGTCGCTATCCACCGTCTGTCTGTCCCTATGTATGCTTAGATCTTTAAAACTACGCAACAGATTTTGATGCATTTTTTTAATAGATAGAGTGATTCTTAAGGAATATTTATATGTATAATACATGCATATTGGATCCGTGTGAAGCCGGGGCGGGTCGCTAGTTGATAATATAAACAATAACTTCTGACAATTACAAAGTTACACTATAGAAACCACATTCATGATTATGTTGGTGTAAATTAGCTTCTTAATAATTTTTGTCTAGAATTCATTTCATTAAATCTTTACTAAACACTAGAATTAAAGTGATACCTAGAGTTTCTCAGGTTGTGGCATTCACATAGGCAATTTATTATATAAACTAAAACAAATACCAACATATTTATAACAAATTAAAGATTGGAACCACCTAGTTCTATTTATTTCTATTTATGCACCTATGATCACTTTACCTATGATTGATACAATTGTTGTGCAACAGTTGATGTTTAATATTAAAACAAACGCAAATAATTCCCTCCAA